CGCCTGGCTGGTTCTGTCAGTAGAACATGTGACTCTTGATCTCGGGTTTGTGAGTTCAAGCCGCACGTTGGATGTAGAGATTACTTAAATAAAACTTTAAAAAAATTAGTTTTGTTATTATAAATAATAATAAAAGAAAATTTAGAACAATGGTATCTCTGTATTCCAGTTATAAACAGTTGGAAATGGAAATTTAAAAAATACCATGATAGCACCAAAAAAAGAGATATTTGGGGATATATAGGGCTAATTATGCATAAGACCTCTACACTGAAAACTACAAAACATTGCTAAGAGAAATTAAAGACTAAATAAATGGAGAGGGATTTTATGTTCATGGAGCAGGTGATTCAGTAGTGTTAAGGTATCAATTATTTGCAAATTGATCTATAGATTCAGTGCAGTCCCAATAAAAATCCCAGAAACTTTTTCTTCCCAGAAATTCCTAAGCTGATTCTAAAGTTCATATGGAATGCAAAGGACCAAATGCAAAGGCCAGAACAACTTTGAAAAAGAGGAACAGAGTTGGTGGATTTACACCACCACCTAACAACTTCATGACGTATTATATTGCTACAGAATTATAGGGCTACAGTATGAAGGAGTTTCAAGACTTATTAATTATAAAGGTACTTACATAGTGTTGTGAGTCCAAAACGGTAGACAAAGACATCAACAAAACATAGAGTCCATAAATAGATCCCACCCATAAGATTAACTGATTTCTGCCAAAGGTGCAAAGGCAATTTAGTCGGAGAAAGAGTACTCTTTTCAACAAATGATGCTGTCACAGTTGGATAGTCATGTGGAAATAAACTTTGATCCCTGCCTCACCTCATTTATAGAAATTAACTCAAGGTACGCTGGGGTGGCTCAGTCAGTTAAGCGTCTGCCTTCAGCTCAGGTCATGATCCCAGTGAGAGGGGGAACACAAGCAGGGGGAGTGGGAGAGGGAGAAGCAGGCTTCCCGCTGAGCAAGGAGCCCGATGTGGGGATCGATCCCAGGACCCTGGGATCATGACCTGAGCCGAAGGCAGACGCTTAACAACTGAGCCACCCAGGCGCCCCTAAATAAAATCTTTAAAAATAATAATAAATAGAATAAAGTGAACAATCCAGTGTGACTGGGAAGAATTTTCTCTGTCCATCAAGGTCTTTCTAGCTGGACTAAGAATCAAATTGACGTAAAACAAATTAACAGGAGAAAATCAGAATTAATTTCTTACATACAGGGAATCCACACACACGGAAATTCCAAAAACGGGGAGGCAAAGTGAGATATAGATGTCATTCTTTTTTTTTTTTTAAAGATTTTATTTATTTATTCATGAGAGAGAGAGAGAGAGAGAGGCAGAGGGAGAAGCAGGCTCCCAAGGAGCAGGGAGCCCGATGCGGGACTCGATCCCAGGATCCTGGGATCATGACCTGAGCCGAAGGCAGACGCTTAACCATCTGAGCCACCCAGGCACCCTATAGATGTCATTCTGAACCAAGGAGAAGGGGGTGGAGTCTGAGGCTTCAAAAGGAAGAAATATAATTAGTAGGAAAATGAAAAAGAATAAATGTCTGGCAAACAGGTGTTTGCTGGTTCATATAGAAACAATGGGACAGAGAGGACTTGGATCAAACAGGTCTTGTTAGGTTCCTCCCTATCTACCATACCTAGCTCATAGTATAATGTAGTTATCTACGGTGATAGCTCTCTTCCTGGAGCAGGTCCCCTATCAATTCTTTTTAGGCAGTTGTGGGAGTGGGGGCAGGCAGGGGGAGTAAAGAGCTTTTCCTGAATCTGCTGGGTTTTGATTGCATAAATAACCTTTACACCAATGTGGACCATCTTGGGACCGCCTGCCCTTGGCCTCTACAAGTGATTTTCAGAATATTGAGAGTCATACATCTAGAACTATCATCCATCAACCATGCAACCATCATCCCTATCTAATTAGATTTAGACCATTTTCGCCATCCCCAAAAGAAGCTCTGTACCCACTGGCAGTCATTCCCATTTCACCCCCTCCTCAGACCTAGGCAACCACTAATCTACTTTGTCTCTATAGATCTGTCTATTCTGAACATATGAATAGACTCATACAATATATGGCCTTTTGTAACTGGTTTCTTTCATTTAGCACATTTCCAAGGTCCATCCATGTTGTAGCGTGTCAGTACTTCATTCCTTTTTATTGCTAAATAATATTCCATTGTATGAACATATCATACCATCTCATTTCCATCTGCCAGTTGATAGACATTTGGGTTGTTTCCACTTCTTGACTATTATGAATAATGCTGCTATGAACATTTCCTTTGGGGTATATAACTAGGAGTGGAATTGCTGGGTCATATGGTAACTCTAACTTTTTGAGGAACTGCCAAACTATTTTTCAAAGCAGCTGCACCTTTTGAAATTCCCACCATCAGCATATGAGGGTTCCCATCTCTCTACCTCCTCAGTAATACCTGTCGTTGTCTGTCTCTTTGATCAGATCCATCCCAAGAATATGAGGTTGTATCTTTGTTTTTTTAAAAACTTACTTTAGAGAGAGAGGTGGGGGGAGAGGGAGAGGGGGAGGGGGAAGAACCCCAAGCCGACTCTGAGCTGAACACAGAGCCCAACACACAGGGCTTGATCTCAGGATCCTGAGATCATGACCTGAGCCGAAACTAAGAGTTGGACGCTTAACCAACTGAGCCACCCAGGCGCCCCTCTCCTTGTGGTTTTAATTTGCTTTTCCATGATGACTAATGATGATGAACATCTTTTCATGTGCTTGTTGGTCATTTGTATAACTTTTTTTTAATTTAAATTCAATTAGCCAACATAGAGTACATCATTAGTCTCAGATGTAGAGTTCGGTAATTCATCATTTGCATATAACACCCAGTGTTCATCACATCATGTGTCCTCTCTAATGCCTGTCACCCAATTACCCCATCCCCCACCCACCTCCCCTCCAACAACCCTGTTTGTTTCCTATAGTTAAGCATCTCTCATGCTTTGTCTCCCTCTCTGATTTCTTCCCATTCGGTTTTCCCTCCCTTCCCCTATGATCTTCTGCACTATTTCTTATATTCCACGTATGAGTGAAACCATATGGTAGTTGCCTTTCTCGGATTGACTTTCATCTGTATAACTTTTTTGGAGAAATGTCTATTCAGTTCTTTTGCCTATTGTAAATTGGGTTATTTGCCTTTTTGTTATTTTGTTGCAAATTCTTTTTTTTATATTTGTAAACATTTATTGTTGCAAATTCTTTACATATTTTGGATTGCAAGTTCTTTTTTTTTTTTTAAGATTTTATTTATTTATTTGACAGAGAGAGATACAGCGAGAGACGGAACACAAGCAGGGGGAGTGGGAGAGGGAGAAGCAGGCTTCCCGCAGAGCAGGGAGCCCGATGCGGGGCTCGATCCCAGGACCCTGGGATCATGACCTGAGCCGAAGGCAGACGCCCAACGACTGAGCCACCCAGGCGCCCCGGATTGCAAGTTCTTTATCAGATATATGATTTGCAAATATCTTCTCCCGTTCTATGGGTTATCTTGTCACCTTCTTGATGTCCTTTGAAGCATAAAAGTTTTTAATTTGGATGAACTCCAATTTATTTTTTCTTTTGTCACTGATACTTCTGCTGTCATATAAGAAACCATTGCCTAACCCAGTCTCAAAAACTTACTTCTATGTTTTCTCCTCAGAGTTTTAGCCTTATACCTACACATGCCCTACACATGCATATTATACACATATATATGTGTATAATTAAGGACTATAAAGAATTATAAATATATTATACATAATATATATATAATAAAGGACTAAGGGGATCCTCACCAAACTGCTAAGAGTGGTCATCTCTGGGGAAGGGAATGAAATTGGGGTTGGGTTAGGGTTTGAATGGGGATCTTCATTTTTCTTCCCAACATACACTTCTGAATTGTTTGGATTTTTTTTTTTTTTTTTGCACTTATGTCTTCTTTTGGTAATTTGAAATCATCAATAGACTTTTCAAAGTATTCAAAATTGAGTTGTACACGGTGGAAGACTAAAAAGAAAAAACATGCGCAAAAGTAGTCATGGCATTAGAATTGGCGGGGGGGGCGGGGGTTGTGTCAAGAAAGTAGCTTCTAAACTGAGATTAGAAGGTGGAAGAAAGAGCATGTTGGCTATACATATAGCAAGAAGTGTGTTGGATATGAATATAGCAAGAGGATTGTTCAGTTGGGAAGAAATTATTTGAGCCTATAGGAGAGAAGGAGGCTGGAGAGGTGATCCTAGTCGTCTATGTTAAGGGTTGTTAGCAGGGGAGTGCGCTGATCTGCTCCAAGTTCGGGGCGGCGTGGGGGGGGAACCCTCCGGGACAGTGCAGAGAAAGAGCGGAGGGCGCGTGAGGAGGCTGCCGCCGGGATGCAAGGAGGAGATGCTGGTGGACGGAGCCGGGTCCTACTACTGGGGGAGGAGAGGCTGGTCTGCGCGACGGTCAGGACTTGGCGACGGGAACCCGAGCTGAGGGGAAGGCAGGCACCAAGGCCGACTCCCACTTCCCCACGTGGCGGCCCGTTAAGTGGCGGGCGAAGCCGGCGCGCTTCGGGCCGCGTGGGAGAGCGCTACCTGCGGAGCACCCGCGGGGGACGTTCAATGGGGCGCCCGGGGTGGGGGGCGGGGGGCGTCCAGAGAGACGTCGGTGCTGACGCGGGAGGAGGAGTCCGTCCCGCCCGTCACCACTGCCCGGGCTCTGCTGGCCTGCAGGCCAGAGCGGGCCCCAAAGCCGGTGTCACACGGCGGGTCCCCCCGCAGCCACGAAGCCCCCGGAGCAGCGCGCTCGAGGCCCGGTGGAGCCCACCTGCACTCCGCCGCCCGCAGACCTGACCCCGCCGGGAGAGGAGCCGCCGCGCCCTCCGGAACCTTCGACCGCCGCCGCCCGCGTTCGCCGCGGGACCCGTCGGGGGAACCCGTTCGCTGTTGCTAAGGGGCGGTCCCGGAAGTGACGCGCCCCGGGTTTGTTGACAGCGGAGGCGGCGGCGGCTGCAGGCTCCGAGCCTCAGGAGCCGGATCGGGGGAGGGGCCGGGCCCCGGAGCCAGCACCCGGCGGCCCTCAGCCCCGCCCGCAGCCCTAAGGGCAAGGTAACGGCCACGGAGTCCCCCCCGGCGCGACCCCCTCCCTCGCGGGGCTCCAGTCCCCGGAATCCCAAGCTCCGCCCCGCCGACCCCAGTCTCCCGCAGACCCCGGCCCTAGCCTGGCGAGATCCCCTGTCTCCCTGGCGCTCTGGCCCCAGATTCCCCCGGGTCACATCCCCGGCTTTCCTCGCAGAGGAAGCGAGCATCCCGTCGGCTCCCGGTGCCGAGGGTATTTATCTGCGTCCTCCCCCTTTCCCTTCTGCCTCAGGCGCCTGGGCATCGCCGCTGCAACCTCTTGCACAGGTCCATTTCGGCCAGTGGTGGGAGGGCTCCTTACTCTGCCCCTGCTGCCAGGTTTGAGAAACGTGCCTTTTAAAACCGAGCTCCCTTCCTCCAGAAAGAAAATGACGCCCTGTCGGATGCCCCTACAAAATGGGGGATCGATATAGGGCTAAAAGGGCCAGCCTCTGCCCCTCCTACCTGTTGGACGAGCTTAAGTTCCTGCAAAGCAATGCCTAAAACCTCAGGGACGGCTTGGATTCTGGAACGACTCCCAAAAGGGATGACAAGGTGTAAGAAATCCAACAGGATGAGAAAGGGATGGGCTGGGGTTGCAAACCTGAGGGCCAGGGGAGCCTGATAGGTGAGTTGAAAGTGAAACTGTCTGCTGGCCACTATAGTTCTGTGTGTGGAAATTGACTTGGCTGCTCTTTGGACCGGGGAGTCCAAGATTTCCAGTCATTGCCTGTGCCTGTCAACGCGCTTGGTTTTTAGGGGAGGGAGGGAGGCCTGGTGCCTCCACAGGGAAAGATACCCCCTTTGGTCTTTTCCACAGAATGTTTCTCTTCACGGTTCAAAATGGTTAGAATGAACTTTGAAGACAGCTTTGAGAAGAGTAACAGGAGGCTATGCTTAGAGCAGGAGGTGGTTGCAGTGGTGAGGGGTCTCTGTTTCAGTTTATTGCTTCATTCAGAAAATAAGAAACATATAATATGTAGGGTGTCATGGAGAAAAATAAAGCAGGAAGGGCCATGGCAAGGGCCAGAGGGTGGGGTCACCTTTGTGGAGACGTTGATCAGAGAAGGTCTCTAATAAGGTGACAAGGTCTCTAATAAGGTGACGTCTGAGCAAAATCCTGAAGGGAGGGAGGGAGCAAGCCATGCATCTGTCTACAGGCAGAGCATTCAACAGCAAGTGCAAAGGTCCTGAGGTGGTATACTTGATGGTTTTAAGAAAGGAGAGGACAATGGGACTGGAGCAGAGTGAAGGAGGGGAAGAGAGGGAACCAGATAATGGTGGGGAGAATGTCAGGGGCTGTCTCTGATGCAGGGTCCCAGAGTACTAAAGGAGCCCCCTTTCAAATCTGTACAAATGTGGTCAGAGAAAATATAGATTTGTTTTAGATGACAAATAGCCATTATGCTCTGGCCTGGCATTATAAGTAATCTTTTTCCATCTTTGTGATGACCATTGGTGGAATTAATACAAAAAGGACAGCCATAGAGCACTGTAGTTAAATCAGGTCATGCAGCTGCTTCCTGGTTGTGAGAACTTGGACGAGGGACCACCTCAGTGTCCTCATCTATAAAATAGGGTTGTTGGGCTTAATGAAACATCACACACTGAAGTGCTTAGCGCACTATTTAGCACGGATTAAGTATTCGATGATGGCAGTGGCCATGATGAGGAACTGTTTGCATGTGTCTACCTCAAAGCCTTTGTTTTTAGCACCAGCTGGTGGTGCCACCAGCTCTGGCTGCCTCCTGAGCTGGTAGAATTTTGGAGAACAGTGGGGGTGAGGGGAGACACAGTGGACACTTACTGTCACCCCTCAGGGGGAACAATGTTTGTATATCCTACAGGGAGGGTGGTAACTTGGTCTTGGCTTTCTTGACGCCACTCTTAGAAGGTGATGGGGGCTTTTTAAAAAGAGCATAGCAAATCCCCATTTTACCACGTAAAATAGATAAAATGATGGTGTTGGCCTCAGACATGTGGTTGGGGTGTGTGTGGCTGATCTGCTGATGGAGAGTGTTAATCTGAGAAGTACCCAGCAGAGGCTGAGACTTTGCAGCCTACCTTATAGGGAGCGGAACAGTGGTTGATCTCCCTCCTCACCCCTCAAGCCTGGACTGTATCATCAGGCCTGGGTCATAAGCTGAACAAGGTGACTGGGCCAGATGATTTAAAAACGAAAAATCAGAGCGCTTGGATGCTGAGAGCCAGCCTATTTGAGCAGCTCTTGCGGCTGGAACCTAGGACCAGCCACCTGGGGACCTGGGTTCAAGCCCAAGGTCTGCAGCTGGGTCACTATGTGAACTTGGGGGGCAAGTTCCATCCCCTGTCTGGGCCTCGGTTTTCCTATCTGTATACTAACTCTGAAGGCTGTTGGAAGGATGAAATGAGACCCAGGTCGTGAAAGTATTGGGTGCACTCTAAAGCTCTCTACAGAGGCAAAGAACAGTTCTTGGTATGACTAGTGCCGTCAGTGCCTTAGCTGCTCTTGACTCCTGAAAGGCCACTTCAGGGACCCCTGATGGGTCATCTGTTTTGGGAACGACATTCTTTATCTGGCTCAATCACTAAAGCTGGTTTTCCACCTTCCAAACGGACAGAAGGCTCTCCCCAGGCATGAATCCTAGGCGATCCCTCCATAATGATTGTTCACCACCTTCTTGGCATCTCCTCAGCAAGCCCACACAATGTGTTTGCAACGCATTGACCGATAAGGACCCTGATGAATCCTGAGGCCGAGAAATATTGCTTGGGGATCTCGTGCAGGCGAGACTTCTTCATCTGCAACCAGCCAGCTGTACACTCACTGTGTCATGGAGATGCCATGGATCACACAAGGCCCCCGCCAAGAAGCTTCGAGTTGTGTGGCCAAAATGATATATGCTCATAGCACAGTTACCAGCGGTAACAGATCATCTGTGCTCGGTGCCTAAGGACGCGCAGAGTTTTAAGGAGTCAGTGAAGCCTCATCTGCAGAAACAAGATCGGGGGTGGGGGTGGGGGGAATAGTTCCTGCCCCTAGCGTCATGCGAAGGAGAGCCAGGCACTTTCTGGGGGACCTATGGCAGGTCCTCACACATCTTTGAACCACGGTTTGCTCATCTGGAAAACAAAATATGTCCCTCCTAGGTTATTTGTGCCTTCAGTGAGAACATGCATGGAGAGCTTGGCACTCTGGGTCTGGAACTAACGCATACATGTGTATGTGTTGCAAGGTACAGATAGACCCTTGAACCTATACGTAGTCCATGGCAGATTACTTTGCCACTCCTCAGCTGCCTATCTGTAAGTTGTAGATTCTAATAACTCCTGCTTCATGTGGTTGCTGAGGGAATTAAATGACCTGACGGATATCAAGTTCTTGGAATATGTTGCTTGGGATGGATGTGATCATTAAGTTTGCGTGTGAGCTGGGAACCCAGGTATTCCCCAAGGCCCCTCTGCCTCCAGGTGGCACCAGTGAGCGGGGAGGTGCATGCCTCCTTCATTCCGTTTCTGCATCTTCTTAACATCACCAACTCTGTGGATTATGACCCCGTCGGGATGCTTTCCGCCCCTGGCCTGCACCCTGGCCCCCGGGAGACCCTGGCACTTGCCCTGACTCTCCTCACAGCAGCTTCCCACCCCCAATATCTGGACTGGGATCTGCTCCCTCCTGGAAAACTTCCAGCTTCTGTAAATAGGGCATTTGTTTGGATTCCACCCCCCCCGCCGCCCAGCTCTTGGGTTAATATTTCACGGGGTGGGCGCTGCTCCAAGGCTCAAGCTTCTGGCTCCCCCAGCCTCTCTGTCGGCCGGGTGTCAGGTCGCCAGTGGGGTCCCACGCTCCCTCTGGACCACAGTTCCTCTTTCCACCCACTGCGCTGCATGGACAGAAGACCCAGTGGTGTGGTGAGGTGCACGGGTTTGGTTTGGAATCACATCCCCTGTCATCCATTGTGTGATTTCAGGCAAGCCTCGGTGTCTTCCTCAGCAAATGGGGGGTAACAGTCAATAGTCAATACCTCAGCTGCTATAGTGAGATCAGGGCAAAGGCAAACCTTTATTCTGACGCGTGCCGGGCACAGACTGGCACAGAGGATCCGGGAGGCTGCAAGCAGACTGGGTTCCCATCCTCCCCAAGCTCGTAAGCTCACAGGTTGTGGGAAGGTGTTCAGCAATTGTTACACAAATGTCAATTAGCTTCAAGTACCAGATCCTAGGGAATGTGGTTTGTTGGTTAAATAAGGAACTATATGCAGTAAAGCATGAGGGGCTCAGCGCCCCACCTGGAAGAAACCGGGGTGGAGACTGTGGTCACTGCTTCTGTGTTCTGCCTTCTCTCGTCTGCTCCCTGCCACTCCCCCCTCACCCCCCATGGCAGAGCTCAGGGTGGATCCAGTGTGAAGAACCTGCTAGAGAAGGGATGGAGGAAGACATGGGGTTCTTCTTACCATGTGGTGTGCTGTCAGAATCAGAGTTCCCTCTGTCCCTGGTTTCCAGAATCCCAGATGGCCGGTGCTTGCTCCAGGAGTTGGGAGCCCTCGGGGGTGGGTGTGGGGAGGGTAGAGATGGCAACCGCCTGGGGGCACCAGTGGCAGGGCGCCCCTGGCCCCTCGGCCTCCCTGCCAAGATGAGGATGGCCCCTTCTCCAGCTCACTCCAGCCCCAAGCAGCCGGGTCCCACTGCCAAAGGGTGGTTAGCAGATGGTACCATCTGCCTGGTTTGTCTTTGGGTGACCTTAGTGGCTGAAAGGGTGGTGTTTCTTCTACCCGGGGAACAGGGTCAGGGCCTGGTGGGTACCCGGGTAACTGGGCTCAGCCCTGCCGAAAAGGCAAAGCCCCAGGCGGTGCTCTCTTGTTCAGAGTGGTGAGGGTTCCTCTGTGGCCAGTGGGTCCTCCCACTGTCCTGGCACAGTGGACAGGGAGGATACAGAGTGTGCCTTGTGCCCCAGGCACCTGCCACGTCTGCCACAACCCGCAAGTCCCTCTTGTCCCTGCCAGAGGCACGTG